AAGGGGTGAAAGCAAAGAGACATCCACCTCCAGAGGAGAAGGTAGATCCGGTGAAAGCAAAGTGCACTATCGATGCCCTGAGGAAACCACCAAAGTCTCCGCCGAGAACCAACTATCAGCGCATTACTGAACAGACATATCTCGAAGCCCAGCGGTCGGGAAGTACTGTCAGTGATAAAAGGTTAAAAGAACGAGCAGCTGGGAAAAAAATTGCCCAGCTCGGCGAACAAGCACAGCAATCGTGCCCCCCCCCCCCCGCTCAATGTGTCTAATGCTCCGGGGACGGTGGCTGGTTTTGGCAATCTTGCAGATTACCTGCCTGACGATCAACTTCCTGATTTCTTGGAGGTGGACGAACACAAATACGAGTACGGGAAGCCTCTCGTCAAAGATGAAAAATCTCTGACAACTATGATGCGAAGATTCCATAATTGGTACATGAAAACCTGCAGAGAGTCTGGGGGACGAATGCTTTGTATCTGAATATTAAAGAGGAGCACGACCTCGTTGCAAATAATCTGTTGACTATTCCATTTGATGAGTTCTTCGTGTTCTTCAATCAAACGGACCTCGATAAACTAATGGTATTTTGCTACTTTCTGTAAGTACTATTTCTGTCATTAAGTCTCTATATATAGCTCGGCTCTTTCATTGCATGTATTTATAATTAATTATCCTCACTATATTATGCAGATTGAAGATCGTCGAGTGCAAAAAACAAGAAATGTATGATATTGGGTTCGTTAACACAAATATCATAGATGAATTTCTGGTTAAAAAGCACCCCGCAGAGGCCGAGGAGAACTTGCTACAATCGTTGATCAAAAATCAAAACAAAGATTTAATACTCTTTCCTTACAACTCCCAGTGAGTGTTACTGTCGTGTGCATATTCGGTTTCCCTAATTACTCGAGCGAGGTTATAGTAAAGTAATTGATGAGTTATGCATGTGTGTGCAGATTCCACTATGTTCTTCTGGAGATTAAGCTTGAGCGGGGAGTAGTAAACGTCTTAGACTCGAGAAGAAAAGATCCCCAAACCTATGCGGACATGACTAAAATACTCAACAAGTAAGTTCAATCGATCATTTATCGCACCATATCGGCAACTTTTTGTTCATTTCCTGATATCTCAAGTAATAATTTTTATTTTCTTTGTCTTGCAGGGTTTGGAAACAGTTCACCGCAGAAGTTCCGGGACTGCCGAAGGACCTGCGATATACATACCCGAAAGTAAGTACTACTAGCGAGCTAGTTGCGCGCATCTCCCGTTGATTCTATAGTTGTACTTTCATCAATGCTATTTATAATGCTTCATTATCAGTCTGATTGACCTCTATTTCCCGTAAAGTGCTTGTGGCAGGAACAAGGGAATGATTTCTGTGGATACTACGTGTGCGAGTTCATTTACAACGCGAATTTGAAACATAAGCGGGGCTACTCTAAAAGACAATATGAAGTGCGTAAGCAATAATATTCACAATTTCAATTTATTACACCATCATTTCTGTTGAGTTTCATTCATATATGTATTAACCCCCTTCTTCAAATTAGACGTGGCAGTTGCGGGATGAACTCCTAGAACAAGATCGCATGAAAGCAATTCAAGAGGAATTGGCGGGATTCTTTCTTGACCACGTCATCAATAAAGCCGGAGAATATCATGTGGAAATTGATTTAAATTCCTAGGGGATTGTAAGAGATTTTACATATTGTATATGTATGTAGCCAGTAGCGTCGGATAGATAATACGAAAACTTGTTGTTCGACCAATCTCTCGGAGAAGGAGAGGTCGATTGATCACTTCTCTCGGTATGCATGACGAATTTCTGTACTTAATGGTTCCCTTCATTTTCTTACTAGCTAGCGTGTCGAGGGCCTCCCTATGTACGGTACGTAGCGTCGACCAAGCACGGACATAAGAGAGGACACTTCTCTCTATTAATTAGCTAGCTAACACAATATATTAAACACCTAAATTAACCCCCCAAAACCCCCAAACCCCCCCCCCCCTTAA